TCTGGAAATTTCTTCTTTTTTTTTTTTTTGTTTCCCTTTGGCGAGATTACTTACTTTTCGGATACGGAGATATTCATATTCATCGCGAGGCGTGGCTTTATAAATATGATATGGCGGTGAATCACGCCGAAACGCGTTTCACCGGCTTTTCCGTCGCGCTTAAAATTTTAATCTCGGGCTAAATCTCGGGCCGCGATTCGCCCGGTGGTGACGGTGAAATTCGCTGTTCATTGCTCGAAATGGCTTACCGGATTACCCGTATAAATCTTTGCGATTTACATTCAAGTTCTGGTTAAAGCAAACGAGTCCCCCTTTCGAATCGGTGAATATTAATAATTTGTAACATCTTCTCTACTCATCTTCGAAACTCTGCATTGATGCTTCTTTCTTCTTTACGCTGTGACAAAGTACGAAGAAAGAAGAAGAAGAAGAAGGGATTGCTTCGATTCGTGAAATTTCATCGATGAGTAACAAGAGCAGAGAGTGTTCGTAGTAAAATCCATTCAACCCGATCCTCGACTCAGCGAGTGTAAAAGCGGACACGTAGAAGAGGGTTGGCGACGAATGCAAAACTGCCGCTTAACCGGTCGTTGAGCGGACGTCGGCGAAGCAACAAGGTGTGACAAGGCGATCGGTGGATTTGTGGCGCGACTACCCACCTCATCCGTATCACCGCTCGTGTGTATACAGTTATAATTGCCGCGATTCCAAGACACGGTTGCGAGTGCGTCTACGATTACCCGGATGAATATCTCGGATTACGGCACGGCGGCTAAATAAATTACCAAACCGTCTCTCTTTCTCCCTTTCTTCCTGCTCCTTCTCTCCTCTCCTCGATTCGCCGGCTTGCATATTAACAACGCCGTAATAAGTGTGTACCGGTATAAATCTCGCGCCGGCCGCTCGTGATCCTCCATCTCTGATCTTTCTTCCTTTCCTTTGCGAATTTTCCACGTTTAATCGGTTATTTATTTAACGCTTCAAGAACGTTGGTGGCTCGTTATTATTATTTTCGATCTAGAACGACACAGTCGCTCTAGAAGGAGGATTATTGGGTAGAATTTTCGATAGCATGGCCCAGCTTCGAGGCGTAAGTTTCGAAGAATTCAAAATTTCTTCTCGTACATTCATTCTCGACACGCTTGGCGAGAAAGAGACCGAGAAAAAGCAACGATTCTCGATCCCTGTGCGCATCCTTCTAACCCAGAATGGGGAGAGGAAGGCACGCGGCCAATTTATGCGGCACAGGGAGCGTAAATTTTGCGCGCGGCTGTACTTTTGCGATCCGTGTACGCGAGGCTAGTTATACGGTAACGTTCGCCTCGTTATGAAAGGTTTATTAATCCGAGCTCCCATCGTCTCGTCGAGAGACGGTGGTGGCGAGAGGCGGCCACCGTTGGGAACGCGAAATTTGCCGCGTTCTGCGCACGAAGAAGCGAGTGATGGACGATTCGATCGGAAATCACCGGCCCATTGTCCACCGATTCACTTTTCTTCGAGTTTGCATATCGTGGGCTAATTGCAAAGGAACGTTTTAAAAATTATTTACATCACGGACGATTAAAATTATCGCGATATTCGATATTATATGGTAATTCTTATAATTGTATAATTCCATATTTTGACCTTTCGCACTCGCATATCCTACATCTTATTATTATACATGTATTTATATTTTAGGGACTCTTGTTACTTGATTGGTAATCCTCTTAAATATAAATGCGAAGGGTTAAAAATAAGGAATGATCGTTTCACTAGAATTCGTTTCAGAAATTATTAACACTGATTAATTTAACTACTCCCAACTTATTTCCTCCACCGTATTTATTCACGTAAACGCGACCGAGCAAGCTCATTTACGCCTGTTTATCGGCTGTTTAAATTACTAATCGAATATCCTTACGCGTCCTCCGCTCCGCTAATCGAAGCAAATTAACCCTGCGCGAGCAAGTTAACGGATAATTAACGGATATTTCAAGTCATCAAGTCAAACATTATTAACGAAAATCAAATCGGTACGTGCATACGATATGGCCATAACCACCTCCCCAAATTACCCTGGGATCGTGCACTCTCCTCTCCAAACTCGGACAAGATGCAATGACTTTTTATCGAGCGGCCGTAATCTTTGGGAGGAAACAAAACCTTTCCTCGGCCGGAGATTTATCGGCCGCTGTCCGCCCGGCGCGCTAACCAGCGCGCCGCGTAGATAACTTTCTCCCTCGTGATAAGCCGTAAGGTATAAATCTGAATTGTTTTTATAATTCCCGTGGAAGAGATGAGGTATCGAGATAACGGTGGATTCTAACGAAGTCTGTAATTTGCAGGCCGCCAGCGAAGCGCGATCCACCACGTTAGCGGCCCATCCACCGCGAGATGGATCCAACGATTTAAACCAATCGACGACGCTCGACAAACGTCGAGAAAGAAACGCCATCCGTAGCCTATCGATCGCCTATTAAGCGACTTAAGGATCGAGTGCCTCCCGATGGATTATCCATCGCTCTGTAATTGGCGCATGTTTCACCAAATTTCTCAAAACAAAAAGAAGAGATTAAGATTTCAGAATCCTCGGTTGTATTACGAATTGAAATAATTCCAGCGAAAGATTGGTGAAATATATAAATATATCGGAGAACCAAGGATTTTTCTTTCGTTGAATTTATATTCCATGGAATATTCCATTTATCACGTGTGATTACATCACGCGAAATCGTATTCGATGGAAGAAAGATATTTGTCATTAGAATGGAGAGAAAGGATATTCCGGATATCGCGCAACAATACATTCCGTATTACGAGTTGACATTTTAAAGTAGAGCGTGTTTTTAAGAATGCGCAGCTATTTTCTCGCAATGGTAACAATGTATCAATGGACAGGTTGCGTCAGTGGCCCTCATATTTCCGATGATTTATATCCGGAGACGCGTAATTGGACGCCGCTGTTGAACTTCCTACATGCTGCGCAACGCTCGCATTCAATATAGATCATCCGCAATTGCAGCTAGTAACATTTCCGCATTTTCTCGCTCGCGATGCTTCGATGAACACGGATCAAAAAGTGAAACTTGGGATTAAATATCGAATCCAAATCTTTTTCGCGTTTAACAATAGATAAATAGTTCGAGAATGCTTTATGGAGAATAGATAAAATGACACGTAAAAATGGGTCTATAAATATATAAATATACGGACGATATTCTTCGAACGGATTATAATAATATATTGTTCGATACATTAAGCAACAGGAAAGATAGTATATAAGTATATTTAAAATGCATATAAAATAAATAAACGTAAATATAATATGATAAAGTAAGATATGAAAGTAATAATAAAAAAAAAAAGAAATACCCAAATTAATAATACCCATACTTGTTACATTATTGTTATCATTTATACAATTCTAACAATCGTTAATGTGAGTACATATCGTCGATACTATAAAGGTAAATAGTCAATACTGACGCATCAATATTTGCAAATGATCCCGTAATTATTCGTCTTCATCTCGAATAGCCTTAATTAGTGTTTCTTTCTATACGCGTTTACACTTGGCGCATACGCTTCAAGATTCTTCGCGATCATTCGACACCAATGCAATCGCTTACTCATCAATTCTGGTCAATGTACAAGAAATCTTGATATCTCTTCTCTCTTCTTTGCGACGAGTATCAATTGATACTTTAAAATTATTTTCGAAGCATTACGTTTTTGCACGATTTAGTTCGTGCACTCGAAGAGATATTTCGATGATCGTTTTCTTTTTTTTCTTTTTTCTTCCAGGATTTCGCTTAGAAATTCCAGTTATTGATTTAAAATTGTGCACGTAATCATCTTTTTTCTCGTCGGATGCTGCGTCATCAATCTCCTTGAATTGTATTCCGTCGTGATTGTCATCTTTCTCGTTTTGTTTATTCATAATATTCTCAAGAATAGATCGATCGTTGCGTGACAACGGATGATTTTTTTATCAATTTCGATGAAAGATCTTCATCCTTCTATCGTAACGTCTTCTTTTATGCTCGACCGTTCTATTCCCGATCATTTTCTTTTTCTTAGTCAGTTTCATCAACGTTGTCTTTGTGTCAGCGTTTTACACGCTTCCTTTTTTTTAGCTATTTTTCCGGATAATGTCATCTTTTCACAACGTCTGCATCAATATTTGCAAATGATCCCGTAATTATTCGTCTTCATCTCGAATAGCCTTAATTAGTGTTTCTTTCTATACGCGTTTACACTTGGCGCATACGCTTCAAGATTCTTCGCGATCATTCGACACCAATGCAATCGCTTACTCATCAATTCTGGTCAATGTACAAGAAATCTTGATATCTCTTCTCTCTTCTTTGCGACGAGTATCAATTGATACTTTAAAATTATTTTCGAAGCATTACGTTTTTGCACGATTTAGTTCGTGCACTCGAAGAGATATTTCGATGATCGTTTTCTTTTTTTCTTTTTCTTCCAGGATTTCGCTTAGAAATTCCAGTTATTGATTTAAAATTGTGCACGTAATCATCTTTTTTCTCGTCGGATGCTGCGTCATCAATCTCCTTGAATTGTATTCCGTCGTGATTGTCATCTTTCTCGTTTTGTTTATTCATAATATTCTCAAGAATAGATCGATCGTTGCGTGACAACGGATGATTTTTTTATCAATTTCGATGAAAGATCTTCATCCTTCTATCGTAACGTCTTCTTTTATGCTCGACCGTTCTATTCCCGATCATTTTCTTTTTCTTAGTCAGTTTCATCAACGTTGTCTTTGTGTCAGCGTTTTACACGCTTCCTTTTTTTTAGCTATTTTTCCGGATAATGTCATCTTTTCACAACGTCTGATATATTCTTTTTTTATTTATCTTTTCTCTTTATGATTTTTCTTTCGTAAATTATTTTTCCTTTTTTTTCTTTTTTTTTCAAATTTCAAATTATCCCTTTACACACATTATTGTTACCAATTTATTATTCGATCTTTCTCAGCTTCTTCGACCCCCCAACTAATCCTTCTTCTTTTTCTTTTCCTTTTTCTCCTTCTCCTCCTCCTCTTTAACTTCTTCCTTCTTTTCCTCGACTTTATCTTTCCCTCCCTCGACTTTCTCCTTCGCCTCTCCCTCCTGTTTAACCTCGATCGATTCACGAGCAACCTTATCTCTCACCTCCTCGGTTCCACCCCCTCCCTTTTTTCTCCCCCCTCCTCTCGCCAACATTTGTCGATCCCCGAGAACTCTCCTCTTTCGCGCTGGTTAACGAGTTTTTCTCAATTCCCCGCGAGGAATGGATCCAGCTTTTTGCCTCGGCCGATCTCCCCCCGAGTCCCGTCGATACCTCGGACGAGTGTTTTCTCTCGCCGCCGCCACCTGTTTTTGCATCATCCCCCTCCAAAGACAGGCGAGGAACGGCCGAGTGAATAGCGCGTTTTTCGCCATCAACTTCTTTCTCTTCCCCTTCTGTTGATCCCGACCGATAACCGACCACCCTCCGTTCTTCTTCCTTCGCCCTCGTCTCCCTTGATTCGTATCGTTTCGAGTGACCGGAATCACTTTTGTCCACGTTGTCTACTTTGGAAAACGGTGTAATAGTTTTCTTCTTCTTTCGTTTCGCCCGCGACAAACGAAAATATTAGGTTGTCCCGAAACTTGTTCTTCCATCAACATTAATCATCATATCATTTTTCTAGAATGATAGATCGAATCTATTGCTTATTTTCCTCAATTTTCGAAAATATGGAAAATCGAATCGTCTTGCAGCACGATGATGAAAAAGTAATCACGTATCTTTTTAAATTAGCATAGAATAGAGAACTTTTTTTGGGAAAATCTAATATTTCGAACACGTTTTAATTTTCTAACACGTTTCTATATTTTACCTGTTGGTTTCCCTCTGTTTGGGAAAAACGGTAATCCTATCCCTGGAAAATATAAAATACTATGAAAAATTGATTTTATCTTTGGCAACCCTATCGGTTTCATCGATTGCGCTTTTATTGTATTTTGTATTGTATTATAAAACCCTTTTTTTTTTTGTTGTTTTACTCTACAGAAAATTAATAATTTGCTCGTGTCACCGATGCGTTTTTTTTTATCGGTTTTTCAAATATTCAGGTTCACCTACAGTTCGTAAAATATTTGCCAAATATTTTATTAAAAAAAATATATACATATTTACCAATTATATACGAATTACCTTTTTGAACGTTGCTCGCGATACCTTCTATCGCTTTTCCAACCGTGCCGATAACGTTCGAGATCATCGAGACGAATACATTATCCTTGAAAATTTTCTCTAACGGAGACGTCGCAACACGCTCGCCTTTTTTTTTTATATACAAAATTAAACAAACGTTATCAATCAATTATATTTATCCGACAAACAACGTGGCAAACAAATCAAATCGATCGATTCTAATTTTAATAATTTGAACGTTTAAAAGTTAAATCAAATTCAATCTTCATCCATTACCGTCATCTTCCTTCTGTGCTGTGTTAAACTTCCTCCAATCTTCCACCTTTTCGTCCCCATTCGAGAATTGAAATGGAAGAATTTTATTGCTCCACGCTGTTATGCTTTCGAATAATCCTAAAGGTTCCACCAAGGTCTTTGCTTCTTCCTAATCAATCGTTAAATATGTGTGAATGGAATTATAAATTGTATCGATCGTCGAATCAAATTCTCATCGTTTATTAAATTGTGGTGTCTGAGAAAAAGCAGATAAATTCAGATATCGATACCGATTTGTCATCGATTGATCCTGGCCCGGGATACGCGATCACCCACGGCACCGATGTCACCAGAAGTATCGCGGCTACGTTCATCTTCCTCGAGTTGTCTCGACTACTGCGATGGCCACCGAGTATCGATACACCGATTATATATATATATACTCGGTTTGACAATTGCAAAAACATCTCGTTAGATGGAAGCGTAGCAGGAGTATAAATTATGGCTTCCTGAAACCTGGTTTGCCGGCTTTTACGATAACAGTGTTTAACATGCTTATCGTGTTGCTCATTGGCGCAAATCAATTTTCAAGACTTGACATTCGAGGGCATGCTCGTTTTGAGCAATCGTGCGTTACAGATGCTATATACCTTCGTTTCCTCCTATTTGTATTGTTAATTAAGTGGAAATGGTTCGATAAAACGTATTTAATCGTTCTGTTTCGTGTTAACGATATGATAAACATATGATAACGTACTCGATAACTAATAATTGCAAAATTTTATATCGGACGGAATATCCAGAGGTAAACGTACTGCGAAGAATAATTTTAATAAAGCCAAATGTCGGTGGGAAATTCATTTGACGATACGCTGTTCAAAAATGTTTCTTCTTTCCTCTTCTTTTTTTTCCCATCAGAAAATTCCGACTTCTTGAGCAATAAACGGTAAAGAACGATAATCGTTCTCCAAAATAAAACGCAAACTGGCAGGCGAGGCTCATCTCCAGCACGATGTCGCACCGACGGTCTTAGAATATTACCTATTTTCCGCTTGGCCGCGCTGGATGAACCAACACGCTCTTCCTTTTTTTTCACTCTTCCTTCCTTCCGTGTCCCCCTTCTCGTACTGTCCTCATCATTGAATAAGAAAGCAAGGCAAGAGGGAAATTTGTTTCGTTGCTGCGAACAACCCGATGTTGTCCCATCCATCGAGGGGAAAGATTTGAAAATTTTTCGACGATGTTCGAGCCCCAATATTCGACTCACGTTTCGTTCCCATCGATTCATCGTTCCCCCCCGCAATTTCTCCACGTCGAGAGTGTAACGTTTCTCCATAAAACCGCCATCTTCCTTGGCGGCCCTCTCGGAGGGCGCCACCGTAGCGGAGGGAGCATTTTTCGCCGAGATAGCCGGTTAAATCAGATCTAATGCGTTTAGGACCAACGATACCGATCGAAATGAAATTTCAGCAAAAGCTCGAGCAGAAAAGCTCGAGGTAATCGCGTTAAGCCGAAAGTGGCGGTTCCTCCTTCTCCGCTATGGCTCGTTCCTCGTCCTCGTTGCGAGGGAAGAATCGATCGGTAATTTAATAGGCGACCACCAGCCAGGTACGAGATAAAAAAAAAAGAAAATTAGTTTTCGAAGCTGGGTGTTTTACTTCGCCAAGAAGGATGAGGGGGAGGGGATAAAAAGCTCACGATGAAAGCTGCTGCGGCCAAGATAATAAGGTAGCGATCGGTTACGACGAAGCGAAATTGCGAGCGATGCCGTAGATGCGATCGGTCGACGATAATAAAGCAACTACTCCCCTAACGAGTAAATAATCTTTTCGATGAAAGTCGATTGAGTTGTTTCCACGTATTAAATCCTCGAGAGGGGGTTCGATCCACTCGATACACCCTTTTTTTTGCCCTTTCTTCGAACGAACCGCCGACTATCCTCACCTAATCGACGAAACATAAACAAGTTTCGGATCGTTGGAAGGTTTAGAACGATCGAACGTTAAATCGTGGCAACGATCGTTGAAATATTAATTCGATTTCGAGGAGGAGCTAACCTCGAGCCATTCGTAGGTTCGAACCATCGATCGAACTTCTCATCACGTCGATATATGTAGTTATTGAACGCGATTAGAGCAGCGATGAATCGTCTTAATCTTCGGGAACCGAGTCAATGCGTCATTAACAGAATCGTAATGGCGAAATCTCGATCGACAATGGGGAATTTATCGTGGGCGGGAATTTCGCAGGAAATTCGTTTGATTACGTCTTTCATGTGTTGCATGCGCTTCGTGGCCAATTATTATATTTCAAGCTGCGTTCGAAGATCTAAATTATTATAAATATTGGGATATTGACGAATATATTTATGAATTTTTCGTTGGAATCTTTCGTTTCGTTTATTTTATTATAATGAGGTGAAAGGCAGTGTATTAAACTCATTTTCTCTAATTATTTAACAATAAGAGAATTATAATACAAATTTTGACACGTTTCTTTCTCCCAATGGATTTTTTATCGTCATATCGAAAAAGCAATTTTTTTTTTTTAAAATTGATACCAATCAATGGAATCTGTAATTGATTCGTGTGATCACTGCGAAATGTCCCTATATAGGGAAAAATAAACGTTATTTATTTTTGCCGTTCCCCGATTTTATATCGTCGATGAGATAATATTATGAAATATCGTTTTACGATTTGTTTGAGCTTTCGAGAGGGAAATTTTTGTTTCACATTTTGTGCTAGATTTTTATTATGTTAACGTTTCTTTCTTTTCTTTTTTTTTTTTTTTCTAAAGAAACTTTGTAAAGGAAAATTTAATTAAAAGTGAGATTGAATTCTTGCGTGTGTGTGTAATAGAATAAAAAAAAATAGCATTTGCATATTATATTCAGTTATGCTGTAATGATAATGATTAAGTAAAATTATCAAGTAAATTGAATTTACATTCATTTACAAATTTCGCTCGTAATTTGCATCGTTCACTTGTTTAACAATGTCTATTATAATTATTCATGTATTGGCTGTTCATTGAAACACGGTTAAAAATACAACTTGACGACACATGACACGTCTCTCGCGATTTTATATTAGCAAGAAACGTGTTAAAAGATATAGATTCTTATGGATGTCACGTATCACTCTCGCTTCTTCTTCTCACCCCTTTTTTTCTATTATCCATGATACGTAATAAATACAAACTGAAAAAGCTTTCTTAAGGAAAAAATTCATTTCTTTTTTTTTTCTGTAGATCAAATAAACGAATAAATTATCATGCGATTAATCACATCGAACAATCTTGAAACAACTTTTCGATCATCATCCAACACGTTGTAGACATTCGAGCAATTATTGCATTCTATTGGAGTAAAAAGAAATTACGGGCAACTTTGACAAATTAATCGACCGCACAAAATCGACGATTTTTTTCTTTCAACGACGCTGGATGGAATTTATCTAAGATCTTGGAATTTTGTAAGCTTTTGCAGAGTTTCATGCAAAATAGGTATCGTTGGAGTAACGACGTAAAAGTAATTAGAACGTCATCGTGTTTGAGCGTGAAAGAAAGGTAGCTCCCTGCGCGTTGAAGAAATTCCTTTCGATGATTCGTATGCAAAGTGACGCGTTTCAGTCTTCCGGGCGGAACGAGATCTTTCCTGGAAATTAATATAGCGAGCGATAAGCCGTGAAGAAAGAAGGAGAAAAAAAATTCTCCCTCTCGTCGATTTGCATATACTTTCATCGCAAATTAACCCTTCAATTTCGAATAATTTCAATATTCGAAACTGTTCGAATTAAATTGTCCGCGCAATAGATAAATATACAAAAAAAAAGAAAAAGAAGAAGTAAAGAAGAAGTAAAGAAGATAGATCGAAAAATGGATTACGAAGAATTGAGAAAAAATCTTTTAAATAAATAATATTTGTTGAGATATATAAATCGTGTCCACGTCGAACAATCATCGTAGAACTTAGAACAGAATTGTTAAAATATTTGCATCCCTTCTCAGAAGATATTTCGTTATCTTCTTCTTGTTCCGTCGAATTGCAAAAATTGAATTGAAAAAAAAATACGTAATGAGAAGAATTTCAAGCATATCGAACAATGAGACGTATCGTCTGCGTATTCGAGAAACGAGAAAGCAAAAGTCCCGTGCAATTTCTTCCCGTGACGCGAAGAAAATTAATTTCGCGCGAAAACGCCCGTTTTGACGCAAATGAATTTTTCGTATGATGAATTACTGGTTTACGATCGATGGAATGTGGATAGGAGACGCGTACCGTCTGGAAAGGTGTTGCAAAATCGTCTCGTCACCGAACACCTGGGATAACATTATGCGAGTCGAGCAATTAAAGACTGACAAACAGACGTCGTTTACAGCATTAGCATAAAATGTTAATTCAAACGTTATAATTGAGGGATCCGGCGGGGAAAGCTGTGTTACATACGTGCAAGTTGTATAATCTTTCGTTCGAGAAATTTGTTTTAATTGAAATTAAAATTAAAATTAAATAATTCATTAATCTAACTCATGCGTGTTCTCAAGCGTTAACACGTTTCTTTTCTTCTTCTAATTTTTATTTTATCGCAAAAGCTTCGTTTATCCATCCATCTATTTATCTGTGTAAATAAATCTACGTTCGATACATCGAATTTCTCGATCGATTTCTGTTCAACGAAAAAGAATTGAAATTTTCCCGACCGGATAATTCACAGTAAAAAAATTCCCTGAATCGAAAACAAAGAATAAAGATAAAGAAGATATATTGGCAATAAATTTTTAAATAGATTCAACAGATGGGGCCCACTTTTTCCTCCTCTTGCTTTCTTTCTTTTCCATTCCTGACACGCTCGCGCAGAAGATGTCTCCGCGTATCGGGCAAAAGGATCTCGCGATAAAATGTTCTTTTTGTCGTATAAAACAAGCAATATGGCGCGTTTTTAGGGCGCGACATAAAGATTCTATCGCGGCTCCTTACTTCCACGCTATCAAGATCCAAAAATTTTCTCTCTGGCGGCATCGCCAAGTCGTGCCGGCAATTATGGCGAACTTCGCTGGGAACTGTCTCGAAAAAATTATTGAAACAACGTTATTAATTCGATCTTTTAAACGTTTCCTTCTTTCCCTTCACATTTCATTCTCTTGCACACCGCAATTCTCTTCTACACGCTTTCTATCGCGATTAACCGCCATAATTGCAACGTCGTTATCCATCGCCATCGACAAAAAAAAAATAAAATAAATAAAAAAAGAAATTTCCCCGACGATTAACGTCGTTTCATTAACGCGAATTCGCGTCGAAATCCACGACTCCATTGTTCCAAGAAATTAGGAAATCGTGGTGGTGTACCTCGAGTGGAGTCGAGAGAAGTTACATGGAATTTCTGGAAATTTATTAATCCGTTTCAACGAACGGCTCGCCGAGGGCGATCCAAATTCGACGAGTGATTCTCGAGTTGTTGTCGAAGAGAGGGAGCGATCGATATTTATGAAAGTTCGGATAATTCGCGGTTTTCTGTTGTCAATGTGTCGCGCAAATGAAATATTCATGCTGTAGGTGTAGGCAGGATAGACTAATGTATGCGAGGCTATTACATCCACGAGACAACGTGTAATCGCCACGAGCATCTGTAATTAGTCTAAGGATAATTTTTTTCCTCGACGAGAGAACGCGAGGGAAAATGCTTCCTCTATGCGTGGCCACGGATGCCATTCGGTTTATTGCACAACGTATATATTATCA